GAGAAAGGAATATGATAAATAGATCTACAGCAAGGTACAAGAGGAAGCTTGTCTAGAGGCAAATGAGACCCTTTCATGCCCGTGATGACAGAGGCAGATGGAAGGAGAAGGGAGTGTATGGTGATAAAGCCCTTTGTAATTCATACATCACATTTAATAGAGGTCTCTGCCCACAAAGACGCTTGAACCTCTAGCTTTATTTCATGACTGGGAAAAAATAAGATGTGAAGATAAAACAGCTGAGAGAATTGTGAGTGGAGCAGTCATTTCTGCTAGTGACCTCGGCTCAGTTCTAATTTCCTTAAACCGTGGGACTGAGCTGCTCCTGTTTTCATCCGTGAGCTAACTGGATGGTTTGTTCAGCACTGGCTTGGGATGTAGATGGCCCAACCCTTCGGTCAAGTGGATTAGTAGTGTTACTAAGGCTGTAAATCATTAAGTGAGGGTAACTGGAAAGACGAGTATAACTTTCTGACTACAGAACGAAAAGCCAGATTCCAACAACAGAAAAACACAGAAAGGCATGTCAGAGCAGAGGAGGACAGGAGACGCTGCTGGTTCACAGTGTGTCTCCCTTTCCTTATGGAACAAAGCTGCCTAACAGCCTTTCTGCAAGCCCAAATGCAGGGTCTGCCTCTTCCTAAGACCAAAGCCAGTTAACTCCATGGTGGCTCTTGTGGCTGAATGGGTAGGGAGTTGCACTGCCAACCCAAATGAAAACAGTTCAAATACACCTGCTGCTCCAGTCAGAGAAAGATGTGCAATCTCCTTTACAGCTTCTGAAAATCAGCTGAAGGGTCAGCTGTGAGTAGTTTCTGACTCAAAGGCATATAACAATCAACAACCTGAGAACTTGCTGTCTCCTCTTTGCTCTTGTTTATACAAACAAGGAGGAGCAAAAGAAATTCCGCATTCCTCTCTGCACCAGCACCCATGCATTCGGCTAGTGCCACTCCTCTATGGAGAAAGTAGAGACCATCCGAAGAGAAAAGTTGCTTCTTCTCCAAAGCAAATGAACAAAACTACTATGCACATTTGCACCTTTTCTATTCTTTGTCCTTTTACTAACTTTCTGTACAATGATAATAAGAGCAAGCATTTCAAGTAGTCCTAATTACGGGGCAGGCAGTACTTTTTATTTCATATGTAATTTTTCCATGTGATATGCTTTAACTACAGAGCTCTGGTGGCCAAGAGGTAACAAGCTGAACTGCAATCCCAATGGCATGTGGTTTGAATCCACCAGCAGCTCCGTAGGAAAAGGATGGACAATCTCATCCCATAGGATTTACTGCCTCTGAAAACCTGTTGGAAGGTCAGCTATGACTCGGTTCTGACTTGATGGCACAAAACTAATTTAATCATACCAACAACCCTATGAAACAATTATTGTTATTATCACTATTTTACAGAAGAAACAGAGGCTTAAATATATAATGCAATTTACCTAAAACTAAAGGGCTTATTCTCAGAGGAGCCTGTGAGAAGGGTGTGGGAGTGGGCCTATAAGTCGGTGCTGACTCAAGCACACCTAACAGTGACAAAGGAGTCTTGTAGCTCAACAGTTAAGTACTTGACTACTAACCAAAAGGTTGAGGGTTGGAGGTCACTCAGCTGTCTCATGGAGAAAAGGCCTGGTGGTGTGTTTTGGTAAAGATCGTTGTTGTGTGCTATCAGGTTACTTGCGACTCATAGTCAACCGTCATGTACAACAGCCCTAAACCCTGCTCTATCCTGTGGCAACCTTATTGTCTCTGACACACCTACTCCCATGACCCCAGTAACTGAGTCAATCCATCTCATCCAGGGGCTTCTTCTCCTGCGCTGTCCCTCCACCCTCCCAAGCATGATGTCCCTCTCCAAGGTTTGGTCCCTCTTTGCAACAGGTCCAGAGTATGTTATATGGATCTTCAGAATCCTTGCCTCCACGGAACAGGCTAAGTCAGAAAAGCTTAGAAAAGTAAAGCCTAGAAAGTTCTGGGAGGCAATTGTACTCTGTGACATAGCTTCAGTCTGAGTCCTACCAACAACAAATAGCCAATAAATAAATGGCAGAGTCAGGGTGTGAACTCAGGCACTATCTCTTATTCACTGTATGATAATGCTTCTCATAGAGTGCTGCTCTGCCGCTTCTTAGAGACCTCACTTCACTGGTGAGCAGCTCATCATGCTGCATTTTTAACCTGTGCCTCTGCTGAATTCTTTCTACCAAAACTTACACGTGATCTACCTCTTCTCTCTCCTCACTTTCATCACAAGTGCCCTAAAGGATGCTCTTCCATGTCGCTCCTTCAGCTCCCATTCACTATCCAATCAACCTGTTTGATCCTCTCTTAACATCACCAAAGCTGTTCTTACTAAAGCCGCTAATGATTTTTTTCTTCATGACTGAATCCAGTGGACATACTGCTGCTGTTGTTAGGTGCTGTTGAGTTGGGACTCATGGCAATCCTATAGACAATAACCTGAAACTTGCCCTATCCTGCGCCATCCTCATAAACCCTCACACGCTCAAACCCCACTGTTACAGTCATGGTGTCATTACATCTTGTTACGGGTATTTCTCTTTTTGTCTGGCCCTTTCCTTTTCCCATCATAATGTCGTTTTCTTAATACTGGACCCTCCTGACAACACGCCCAAAGTACGAGACAAGGCAAGCATCTTTGCCTCCAAGGAGAACTCTGGTTGCAGTTCCTTCATGATTGAAGGCGTCATTCCCATAGTAACAACAGTCAAGAAATCAAAAGAGTGTTGCATTGAGCAAATCTGCTGTCAAGGACCTCTTTAAAGTGCCAAAGAGCAAGGATGTCAGTTTAAAAACAAAGGTGCACCTGACACAAGAAATGGTGGGTACACTGTGGCCCTCATCTATTTTCTCTTCCTACATGATTTTTCTTTAGCCGTCAGGGATTAATCACTCTGTCCTTGGGAGACACCCAGTTCTTGACTTTCATGACACCTTACTTTCTTGAGTCTTCTCCTACCACCATGATGATTTCTCTACAAACCTCCAAATACAGGAATTGATTGGGACTATGATCTTCAGGCTTATCTTTGTATTTCAAATTCTTCCTCTCTAAGCCATGCTGTTTTCAAATGCTTCATATGCTTCTAAAAGTTAGACAGTGAACAAGAATGAACAAAGAAGACTCAATGCCTTTGAGCTGTGGTGTTGGTGAAGAATACTGAATATACCATGGACTGTCAAAAGAACAAATAAGTGTCTTAATGGGTCAGTCCTTGCAACAAGGCATCATGCGGGGACAGATGGAGGGTCAACGAAGGAGAGGACGATCCTCAATGAGCTAGATCACATAGTGACTATAACAATAAACATGAACTTGTTAGAAATAGTGAAGAAGGGGCCGGGTAGGGTAAGGCTCTGATCGTTGGGTCACTCTGAGTCACAGCTGACTTGATGGCACCTGA